TTAGTAGGAAATATGTAAGGGATTTCCCATCTTTTCAGAATATATATATATATATAAAGTGTTTGCGTACTTGTGATTTTGATTTATGTTTGCTGTGCAAATTTCAGCGATTTTGTCAAAGTGTTCTGAATTCGGTTTTACAATTGTAAAATGAACTGCTTTAACTCGGAATTACTTAAATCGTGATCCGAGTTGTAAGGTTTTGTAAAAATAATTTCCGAATTCCACTTTGATCGTTTATAATAATCTTAGCCACAAGTGTAAGTCGATATGCGAGTTTTCAGATAACTTCGCGGAACTTAACACATTTTTAGGGTTGTACGGATGATAAAATGAAAGTCACCGAACTTCGTCAGAGTTCGATTATGGAATGGCCCCAACCGACTTATATGTTGTGTATTCGGTAATATTCGGGGCCCGTCAAATCATGTATGTTGAAATGACGTTTGACGAGCATCACCCCCATCCGAAAATATGTGGTATTCGGACATATTATGGGGTATCAGCTAGACCGAGTGTCGCAATGCTTACATCGGCACGATATACTCATATAACCGAGTTTCAAAAGGTTTACATCGATATCGAGCTTGTTGCTCGACTTTTCAAAACACGCAAACTGACAGGCTTTTCAATACATCAAAGGGGGTGACTTCATGCATTCACCGAGGCAACAGAAGGTCCGTGCAGAAGGGAGGTCGACTATTCGACTTCGGATCCTTCACTGATAGAATTTTTTCAAGAACACTGCATTCCAGGGATATTGATGTGGTGTTCCATCAGGATGAGCAATCCGGTAGGCCCCATGAGGTAGGATTTTAATGATTTGAAAGGGTCCTTCCCACCGCGGTCTGAGTGGTCCGGGGTCAGGCCCCATTATACGTTTGAGGACAAATCTCCAACTCGGAATGAACGGGGTTTGAGTTTAGAATTGATATATCTTTCATTTCTTTGCTTGTACGCAGCATTTCTAAGTTCGGCCCGGGTACGGTGTTCTTCAAGTAGGTCCAGATCAGCTTTCATATTTTTCGAGTTGGCCTCTTTGGTGAAATGCTGAACTCGGTATGTCGGTTCTCCGAGTTCAACAGGAACCACGGCTTC